GGCGGGAGGAAGACAAGGATGAGTATTTTGGGAAACTGGGCCACGGCAGGTGTTTTCCACCGGCAGCAATCTGGGCCAGGCTTAGTCCTGGTTTCTCCCTGAGCCAGGCCCAGCCTTGCTCTCCCCCTGCCAGGATTGGGGCCGGTCCTGTCCCCAGAACCTACACACTGCCTCTGGATCCTGCAGGGAAGGCCTGGGCCCTTAAGCTGTCACCCTGGCAACCGCAAGACCCACAGCAGGCTGGATTGTCCCCCTGGGAACGGCTAGACCACAGCGCTGAGCCGCCCCTGCAAGTCCCATGGGTGGCTATTGCCTTCCCTCTTCAGTCCATGCCAAAGAAGGGGCGCCAACTCCCTGCCCCCAGATGACATCCCCACCCCCTGAAGGGTGGGCTGCTCTCTGGCATTTAGAACCCCACAGGGAGAATCATTGGCCGGGGCAGGCCCCTAGGGTTGGAGCCTTTCCCTGTCTTCAAACAGAGGCCGTAGGTAACGCAGAGAGGCAGAGGCTAGCCATCACGTGGTGCTGTGACCCCACTCAGCCACCTCCCAGGCGCCCACTGCCAAAGAAAACCCTGCTCCTCCTCCTAGTGATGATGGCCACGGGGAGACCCCAGACTAAAGAGTGACCCTGGGTTCCAGCTCCTCCTGTGTGGGTGTCCTTGGCAGGGCCATGGCCCCACGCTGGGTCCGTTTCCACACCTGTCCAATCAGCCAGCGAGGCTGAGCCACCTCTGGTGCGTGTCTTGCTCTGACACGCCCGCTGGGCAGGCTCCAGCGGGCGCACCCTTCCTAAATCTCACAACTCCCCGTGGTCAGGGGAGGGGGTGGGGACAGCCCTGGGTCGCACAGCTGGCCAGCCACATGCACGGAGCCCTAGTGTGTGCGCCCAGCGCTTCACCCCGGGGCCTCCCTCACTCCCACTTCCTGTTCGCCACTCCCAGGACCGTTAGCCGCTCTCGTCCCACACCTGCAGTTTATCAGCTCGAGAATCACGTATCCTCTTCCAGATCGGCTTCCTCTCCTCTCCTGGGCGCCACCAGCACCCTTGCCGCCTAGCGGGCAACAGCCACCTCGCACGGCATGGGGATGGGGATGGGCCCAGCCAGCCCCTCGGCCTTTGGACGCCACTTTGCTCCATCACCATCTGCTACCTTTCCCGTTTCCGTTCCTGGCTTACCACACACAGGGTCTCCCCTCGGTCCCTTGGGTCCCCTTAAAAGCCCATCTCTCCCTGTCGCTCACGCTCGAGCCCCCTCCCTGGTCGCCCTCGTGCCGCCCCTCACCATGGCGAAGCCGGACAGCAGGGCAGACGTGCGGCTGGAGGCTTTGAGCTTGGCCCGGCTGAGGTAGAGGCGGCGCCAGCTGAGCGCCCGCAGCGAGTGCTGACTGGCCCCCATGAGGTCCAGGTAGCCGCGGTGCACGAACTCTCGGTACGTGGCGGTGCCCGCGGGGCTCTCGACCTGCGGGTTCAGCGGGGCCTGTTCGCCCGCGTCCCCCTCGCCGCCCTTCATCCTGGGGGCGGCACCAGGCAGGCGGCGGTCACGGCGGGGCCGGGGTGCCTTCGGGGCCCCAGAGGGAGCGGCCGAAGCCGGCGGGACGCCCCATCCCCCGGCCCGGCGAGAGTGGGAACGCGGGCAGCCGGCGCCCGGGAACTGCAGGCGTCTCCGGGTAGCCCCAGGGGCCGAAGCGGGACAGCCGAGGCCGAAACAGGAACTGGGGCGGAGGCGGAGCCGGCGCGGCCACATGATGGGGTGGAGCCGGGGTACCGAGCCCCCGAAGTCGACTCGCAGGAAGCGCCCGAGGGACCCCGCGACCCCTGTCCACTAAGAACGTTATCCAGACGCTCAGATCCCAGACCACTCAAGGCACAGCCGGACGCCCCGAGGGTCCACATCCCCAAACCGCCCCTCAGGGAACCCTGGAAAGGTGAGCCCCCGCCTCCTCCCAGAGCCCCGACGGCTGGGACCCCCCACCCCACACCCCTGGCCCGGTCTCCACGCCCACGACGCCACAGACACACACACACACGAACTCCCCGGCCCCGGCTGGAAGATTTCGAGTTTTATAGCAAACCGTATTGTACAGACCTGGGGCCCAGGGGCCCAGCCCGGCTGGGTCCCCCACTTACCCCTCGCCGGGCTGCCTCCTCCCCCTCCCCCAAGCGGCCCCATCCTCAAGCCTCTCGCGATCCCCAGGACCCCCTCCCCTCCGGCCTTCGGTCCGCCCACTCCCTCCCCCCACCCGCGCACCTCCCTGTTACCTGAGGTATGTGGATAGATCCCCCCTCCCCTACATGGTACGACCCGGCTCCCCCGGAGGCCCGGGTTGAGGGGCGGGACCAGGCCCCGACTCCTCCCTCTGGCCCCGAAGCCCCACCCCCGTGCTGGAGGAAGGGCGGGGGGAGGAGGGCCAAGAGTCTGTGACTAAGTTCCCATGGCAACTAAGAGGGGCCATTTCCAGCCTTAGCAATGGCATCGGGAGGTGTCCATTGGCTGCTATTTCCATGGCAACCAGGAGTGGCAGTTCCCTGGGCAAATGGGATACAAGTTTCCATGACGATGAAAGAGTGGGAGAGCCAAGCTGGAGGAGTCCCATCTTCCCCATCATTGGGCGGGCACCCCCACTACCCCAACTCACTCGGGTCAGGAGAGGTGGAGCTGCCCAACACAGTAAAGGGAGAGCTGGGTGCTGCAGTCCGAACTGGGTGCCCACCAGTCCAGTCTCAGTCCAAGCTGGTCCCGTCCCATCACACTCCGGCTCCCCCAGTTCAAGTAACACTTCAGTACAGATGAATGTTCAAGTATTGTGCGGAGAGGCAGGCAGGGGGCTGGGGCACCCCCACCACTCCCCTGGGCCACGGGCTGCACAGCGGGGTGGGCCCGCGGCCCCCACTCCTCGCACTAGCTGCCGTTTTCAGTGACGTTCAAGGAGTCAGGGCGGGGGGGGGGTTAGGAACTGAAATCTGGGCGGGGGGAAGGAGAGGGCGACCCCCCGATACACACACACACACAAACGCAGGGGTTCTGCGGCCCCCACTCCTGCTCTGCGCCTCACCTCCCACTCAGCCCTGGCTCTCCCTGGCTCCCGAGCCCCCCACCTCTGACGCCGGGATTACCAATTGCTCCTCTGCTTCCCTCTTTGGAACCCCCCCACCCCGCCCCCCACTCCAAGTACCGGGTCTCTGTTCCCTGAACCCTTGGTGGCCTGCTTGCTGCCCCTCCCCCCGCCCCTCCGCCACCTCCCCCAGCCCCCTGGCTCCCAGTATCTGGTGTGTGATGCCCGTTCCCCCTTCTCCCCCCCTCAGACTTGCACCTTCACCCCCCTCCCACCATCCCTTTGGCTCAGCACCCCCCAGTACCTCTGACCCACTCCCCCCAGGGGATGGACAATGAAGCAGGTGGAAGGGGAGGAGATGGGGAGGAGCGACCCCCAGAGAGATCAGTGCAGGGGGAGGGGGGGCTGGCTCGAGTCCCTGGGCAGGAATCCCACCGTGAGGTGGGAGACCTGGCCTCCGGCAGGGGTGAAATGAAGGCCGACGGCAGGCTCCTGATGAGTCCTGGGGGAGGGTGGGGGGCGCCCCACTAGCTGTCCTTGAGAAGCAGCTTCTCCTCTGGGCAGCGGAAGGGGCCGGGGGGCCCGGCAGCTGCCAGCCGGGCACAAGCTTCAGGCGAGAGCTGGCGGCAGGAGCGCAGGTCCAGGCGGCGGAGGCGCGGGCAGCGGCGGAACAGCGGGAGGCAGTGGTCCGTGAGGCGGTGGCAGCCTGGGGTAGGGGCAGTGGTGGCCGAAACCCGGTAGGTGAGAGAGGGGTGGCAACCGGCCGCAGGGACCAACAGGCCAGCAGGAGGGAAGGGACCCCAGGCTTACCAGCAAGATTGAGGTGCACCAGGGTCTCGCGGAGTGGGGAGGTGGGGGCCGTGAGGAGGTGGACACTGGGGTCCCCGACGTGGGCGCAGTGGCTCAGGTCCAGGGCGCTCAGCTGGGGTGCGTGGCGCAGCAGGAGCCGCAGCGAGGCATCCGTCAGCTCCAGGCCCGCCAGCCGCAGTTCTGCCACCCCCTGCAGCCGCCCACGGCTCTCTGTTTGCCCTGGGTGGGCAGAGGGGCGGTCAGCACTCTTGGTCACCCTGCACCTGCACCTGGACCCTCCTGGTCTCCCCCTACACTCCTCACCCTCCCCTGCTGCCCCTGGAAGGGAGCCTTGACTGGCTTGTTCTCCCCACACCCAGCGTGAGCTGACTTCAGTCGTCCACTGCTCACATCACCTCCTCAGGTCGGCCTTCCATGATTACTCTTCCAAGCTGTGACATTCAACACCTGCCCATGGAAACTTTGCATGATTTTGCTCTTCTCACCATCAGACACACTACGGGGAACGCCAAATCCACAGGGGCAGGAGCTGCCGCCTGCGTTGTGCACTGCTCTATCCCCAGCAACGGAGGCACGGAGGGTGCTCGATGTACACCCGTCCACTCGCCCACCACGCGACAGCCCGACGGCTACGCAGGCGCCTCTGCCCCTGCCCTCTCCTCTGAGGCTGGTGAAGCCCCTGCTGGAGCCCCCTTTTCCTCCGGTCTCCACACTGGGCCGACACCACTCCTCCCAAGTCCTGCTCCAGCCCTGAATTCACCCAGAATCCTCCTCTTCCTGGCAGCCAGGACGCGGGGCACTCACTCTCTCCTCTGGCGCACAGCCTAGCTCCTCTCCCTGTCTCCCAAACAGGAGCCATACTCCACAGATAGCCCTGCCTGCCTGCCTGGGAGACTGCCCGCATCCCACACCAGGGTGCTGGTTTGTGTTGGTGGCTGCTCAGTTTCCGATCCAGCTCCTTGCTGATGCGCCCGGGGAAGCAGCTGATGATGGCCCAGGCACTTGGGCCCCTGCCACCCACACGGGAGACCCCCTGATGGAGTTCCTGGCTCCTGGCTTTGGCCTGGCCCAGCCCTGGCTGTTGTAGCCATTTGGAGAGTGAACCAGTGGATGGAAGGTCTCTCCGTCTGTCACGGGGGTGGGGGTGGGGCTGCTGTGATCTCCCAGCCCTACAGTGCCTGGCCAAGGTCCCTGAGCTGAGCCCCCACCCATCCATCTCCAGCGTTGAAGAGCTCAGGCCCCTCCTCTCTGCACACCAAGCACATACATGCTCGCGCTACTGGCCCTCAAACTAGCGCAGCTCAGAGGCCTCTGGAAGGCTGGTCGCAATGCATTGTGGGGGGTGGGCACGTGACCTAACGGGTAAGCTGCCTGTTAGACTTCTGCTTGTTGGGGCCGGCTTTGATGCAGCAGTGTCACTGCTTAGGATTGCATTCCATACCACAGGGCATGGGCTTTGAGTCCCGATTCCAGCCTCCTGCTAACGCATACTCTGTGAGGTAGCAGGCGATGGCTCAAGTAGCTGGGTCCCCTGCCACCCACATGCGAGACCCATATGGAGTTCCAGGCTGCTGGCTTCAGCCTAGCCCTGCCCTGGCTATTGTAGACATTTGGGTAAAAAAAATCCGTCTCTCTCCTTTCAAATAAAGAGAAAAACGTAAAAAAGACACCCACATCCTGTATCCGAGTGCCTGCCCATTCCAGCTCCTGACTCTGGCCTCCTGCTAGTATCGTAGGAGGCAGCAGAGACTCAATCACTGGGTCCTTGCCACACACGGAGGAGGCCTTGTTGAGTTCCCAGTGCCTGGCTCCAGGCTCGGCCTAGCCCAGCCACTGCAGACATCTGGAGAGTGAACCAGTAGCTGTGAGAGTGCGTGCTCTATGCCTCGGAAATGAATTAAAAAAAAAAAAAAAAGACTGCAGGCCCCACCTCTGGAGTTTCAGCAGGTGGAGGCTGGGGCCCCAGGGTTTACTCTGCTTGGAGACCACGCTGTCAGAACCACCTTGGGGAGCTGTCACAGCTGGCATCCCTGTGCTGCCTGGGTGCCACTCCCTTGTGTCCCCTGTCCCCTGCCAGGCCACCTGGTGGGCACTGGTCTTTGCAAGCCCTCCTGAGGGGGAGGCGCCCCCAACCTTGGGCCACAGTAGAAGCCAGAATGGGAGAGAGAAGTCACCTGTGGCTTGGGCAGGGGAGGCGCCAGCAGGCATGGCACGGAGGTGGTGACACTTAGGCTGGGCCTCCAGGGCTTCTGATGTGTAGTAAAGGCAGGCGAACACACCAGGCAGAGAGCAAAAGCAGGGAGGGAGAAGAACCCTAAGTTTTGCTCCAGGGATGCTGCACGAAGCCAGGACGCCCAGAGAGGAAGTGGGCTGTGGAATGCTGACAGGCGGCAGGGGCACAAGGGCCTGCGATGCTGGTCCGCGCAAGCTGCGATCCAGATGAGGAAGATGGGGCTGGCACTGTGGCGCAGCAGGTTAAAGCCCGGGCCTGCAGCACCGGCATCCCATTTGGGTGCAGGTTCTGGCCCAGCTGCTCCACTTCTGATCCAGCTCCCTGCTAGCACGCCTGGGAAAGCAGCGGAGGATGGCCCAAGTGCTTGGGCCCCTGCCATCCAAGCAGGAGACCTGGAGGAAGCTCCTGGTTTCGGATTGGCTCAGCTCCAGCCACTGCGGCCATTTGGGGAGTGAACCAGTGGATGGAAGACCTCTCTCTGCCTCTACCTCTGCGGGGAGCAGACTTAACGAGCTGGTGCGGGCACATGCAGGTGGCCCAGTGAGGGACGTCCCTGTCCCGTTAGCCAGCCTGGGTTCAGTGCCCAGCTCTAGCACCTGACTCCAGCTTCCTGCTAATGTACTCAATGCGGGGCAGCAGTGGTGGCTCCAGTGCTTGGCTCCCTGTGGCCCCTAAAGGAGACCTCGACTGAGTTCCTGGCTCTTGGCTTTGGCCCTCAGATCTTAAATCACTTCTCACTGTCCAGTGACACACAGACTGAGGGACTCCTCCCTCCATGGAGGATGGGGGAGGGGCTTCTAGGAGGAACTGGTGTTTATGCTGAGGCCACAAAGACGATTAGGTGTGAATGAGATGAAGTGAACAGGGCACAAGAGGTGGAGAGGAGTGGGCAAAGGCCCTGGGGCTGGAGACAGAAGTAGCTGAAACACAGAGGCGGCCGGGCTATGCAGGCAGCAGTGACTGTGGCAAAATAATGGTGTTTACCCGAGCCACACAGGGAGCTGGGAGCGTTTAGGACCCCAGGGTGGCAGGGACAGGTAAACCTTTAAGGATGGTTCCTCTGGCTCCAGTGTGAGAGGCTGGTGGGGGCCAGAACGAGGGGCCCCCCGGCCTCAGTATCCCCGCCTCCATACGACCCCCGAGTGACCAGGGCTCTGCTCCCAGCATCCCCCTCTCCAGCCACGCCTAACTCTCCCCATCCCGCTCAAGACGCTGCCCAGGGTGCACGCAGGTGAGCACGTGAGCGAGCAGCGGCCACGAAGGGCCTTCCCGTTCAGATCCGGGTGCTGTGCCTTTCTTCAAATATTTTAACATTCAATAGCAGCTATCCAAGGGACCTCAGAGGCCTCCCACCGCCCCCGCCTCCCAGCAGGCACACCTGCCTGACCCATTTTCCAGATGAGCACACAGAGGCCGCACCTGGTTTGGTGTCTGGAGGAGGCAACAGCAGCTCGCGGAGCTGGGAGTCTTTAACATCCTCGATCCAGCGGAGGTCCAGGAGCCGCAGGGCCGGCAGTGGGGCTGAGCCCAGGGCGGAGACGGAGAGCCAGGAGCAGCCGGAGAGCACCAGCTCCTGCAGGCCTGGGGGAGCGGTGAGGGGCGTGTCAGGAAGCTGGGGCTGGGATCCCACCACGCCTGGCCCTTTCCCCACCCTGCCAGCCCACCCGTCCTACCTTGCAGTCGGTTCAGAAGCCACATGAGCTGCTTCTTGGAGACACCTGTCCAGCTGAGGTCCAGGGCACGGGGCTGGCGGCGAACCACCCCACTGAGCATGGGCGGGGTCAGCGACTTCCGCCGGCTCAGGTCCATTCGAGGCCACAGACGCTTGTCGTAGCACCTGACAGCCACAAGGGGGAGACAGAGACCTCGGTCCGCAGCTCTCAAGGAAGCCCTGGAGCCCCACAATTGCCAGGCTCCAAAGGTTCACCCCAGCTCTCTCCTGGCCCACAAGGAAGACAGTAGGGCTGCAAGAAGCTCCTGGCCTGAGGCAAACAGCAGGGGGTCTGGGCCTTAACTCCACTAACTGGATGTGAGACCCTGGGCAAGTCCATTCCTCTCCCCCAGCCTCGGAAGCCTCCTTTATAAAATGAAGATAATGACTGCAGACTCTGCTTGCCCCACAGGGCTGCTGGAAGATCAAATGAGGTAATTACAGATTGCAAGCCCTGCAGCTTATAAAGCAGTTGCCAAACACACACACACAGCGCATGCACACACACACAGTGTACACACACACACAGCCACATTATTTGTGGCAGCAGCCCCCACCCCCACCTCTGGGTTCCCACATCCCTCTGGCTGCCGTGGTGGCTCCTGCGCACCCATCCATCCTGCTCTCAGCGCGGAGCCACACGTGCTGCGTCCGCCCCTCAGTGGCCCCCGGCTGGACTGGGAGTCCTGTTTTCTCCCTTCGTTCCACAAAGCTGTGCTCCTGATTCAAATCTAAGTGCCAGGAGGGCAGCGGCTGGCACCTCTGCCTCCCCAGGGTGGCTGCCGCGGCGGCCAAGGTGAACTCCTCAAAGTCCGCACTGAGCGCTGCCCAGCACACCTCAGCCACGGTTTCTCATCCGGTCCACGAGGCCCCGGGTCTTGAAGCCACTAAGACAAAAAATGAGGCTTCTGGGCCCCTGCCGGGAACAGCCCAGCCTGGCCCAGAGGCGCCTCGCAAGCTTACTTCCCCAGGGAAACAGCCTTCCCCACCTCCCCCCACCCAAGGGAATCTACTCGTGTGTGGCCGGGAAGCCGAAGTTCCTCTGAGCTCAGTGGAGAACTGTCTTCTAGCTCAGGAGTTCTGGAAGGCAAATCAGGAAATCCCCAACCGGACTGGACTGGCTGGGCCTGAAGCAACAGAGGTGGGCGGGGCCTCCCCCACCCCTCAACCATGCCCAGGGGCTCCTTCCAGCAGCCCTGGCTGGGCCGGCTTCTCCAACACCAGTTATCTGCGACCCACTGCCCTGCAGAACGTGAATTTCCCGTAAATCACCACCCCCTTTCTGCACTTAAAATCAGTTTTCTGTCGCTTTCAGTATGTTAGCCTTCAAAATAAATGTAACAGGCAGAGAACAGGGGTATTAGCTTCAAACCAGGTGCTGCTGCGGCTGTCGGCCATCTCCCGAGCCCGCCCAGGGAGATGAGCAGCGCGGGAGAAGCTACTACAGGCACAACAGCCCCGCGAGCCGGTCCCTCTCCACACAGAAGGGTGAAGCGGGGGACGTAGAGGCAGGCGGAGGCGCTGACCTGCAGACCGGCCTCCTAATGATCGGCTCTTGTCCCTCTCCTATCACTGTCCCCACCCTGCGCTTTTTTGGCATTCTAGTCTCTCTCTCTGTCCTGATTTCTTCCATTCTACGGGTTGATACTAGCAAATCTTTCCAACTCTGAAGAGTGAAAAGGAAAACAAAACCCAACACACGCTCAATGCAGCTTCTGCCCTTCTCTTTGTACCCCGTCCGAAGCCTGGTCTGACACGACCCTCAGTCCCAGCTCAACTGCCACCAATTCCCTGAAGCCCCCCTCCCCAACCCCGCCACTGCCACGCCAAACTGTCCACAGCTGGGAGGGAAGCCCCTTCCTTGGGAGCCCCCACAGGCACCAGATTCCTCAGGAGCGGGCCAAGCCAGCTGCCCACCGGCACCCAGCCACACTCCCTGGTGCCAACACATTTCAGCACACGGGTGCCTCTGCCAGAAACGCCAACAGACCCGACATCCTTCAAGGCTTGGCTGTGGCGCCTCCTCTTCCAGGAAGTCTCCCCAGACCCTTTCTGGCCTGGAGCTCATCGGTCCTGTTGCCTTTTGCGAAACCAGGATGGGGAGGTTTAGCCTCAGAGCGGCGGCCAGTAGTCAGGGAGGGCCCCACTGCAATCAGGGGTCCGGCTTCCACCGGACGCACAGCAGGTGGGGACAACAGGGCTGCAGCAACACAATCAGGGAGGCTGAGGCCTCAGGGACTTGAGAGTCAACTCCAGGAAGGACCAAGGAGCCTCCTGGGAAGACAATGCCCCGACTGAATCTTTGAGGAAAGCAGAAGTGATTCTAGAAGGGAGATGGGACAGGAGGGGCGTGTCAAGACAGGAAGAACCTGTGCTGGGCCCAGGGCAGCCAGCCAGGCAGCCAGAGGAAGGGGCGTGGCGGGGGCGAGAACAGAGAACTCTGGGAAAATCAAGCAGTTGGGGCGAAGGGCGACCCATTGTTGCATCGCCATGATGCTGTGAGGCTTACAGCAATGGCTGCTGCCATTCCAGGGCTTCCTATGTGCAGGCACTGCTCTATGTGCTAAGCACTCGACCTCACAATGGCTCTAAGAGGCAAATACTATCTTGTCACCTTTTGACGGTTTAGGAAAACAAGGCCCAGAGAGGTTAGGAAACTCGTTTAAGGACCCCCTCCAGCTACCGAACAGGGGCTTATGCCACACTGGTCTGGATGGAAGTGTGAATTCTACGAGTGCAGGAGGCGGAGGTGAGGCTACAGAGGCAGCCGGGGTACACGAGCCAGGCCAAGAAGGGCTGCAAGGCCAGGCCCCCAGCCACTGTGGCCATGGAGTCCAGAGGCGAGGAGCGTGAACTGAGTGTGACCTGAATCTCAGCTCTGCCACCTCCATGCTTTGGGGGACTTTAGGCAAGTCATCTACCCTCTCTGGGCCTCCAACTCCCAAACCGTAAAACGGGGAGAAGGCTGGCATTTACGTCAAAGGTTTGCAGTGGCGACGAAAGGACACATGCTGAGTGCAGGTGCCAAGGGCCTGGCTTGTGTCCGAATGTCCACTAGGACTGTGGGAGTTCACAGTGAGGGGGACGGGGCACCAGGGACACAGGTTCTTTCTCAACTGTGGCATGCTGCTGAGACAAGAGCCAGGCCTGACCCCGTCACCTTCTCCTGACCTCGAGGCACCCCTGCCCAACGCGCCACCCTTCTACGTCCACTTACGAGACCCAAATCCCAGCCCTCAGCCGGGACTGGGAACTGGGCTAGCCTTCACTGCTCCCTGCAAATTGTGACTGCTAAGAGCTCCAAGCCGTCTCCAGGCCTTGACCCTGTCCCCTTGTCCCCTCCCGGGCTCCTCGCTGCCCTAACCTGTTCTTGCAACTCAGCACCCCCTAAGCAGCCCTGCCCCTTGCTCCTGGTGGATCACTACACCTCCGAAAGCTGCCAGACACAAAAGCCTGCCTTCTCTCTTACACACCTTGCCCCAGCCCCAACCCCTACCACCTCTCTCCATACTCCATCCCGGTGTCCTTTCACTCACTTGTCACCAGTGACACAGCAGTGACAAGCGGGTCATCTCCCTGGCCTTGGAGTCATCACCTCCATGTAACCCGGCTTTGGTTCCTCCACCGGAACAGAGCACAGCCGTGGATACCAAGGCCTCCTGGGAGCAAACGCCAACTGCCACCTCTGGGTCCTTGACCTCGGGTGACCTCCTGTCATCACCCACCACTGCCCATCAGTCATTCCCTCCTCCATCTGTCTTTCCTCTTCAGAAGGATTTTGTTTTGTTCTTTAAGATGAATCTCTTTATTTGAAAAGCAGAAAGAGACAGGAACAGAGAGAGAGAGAGAGAGAGAGAGAGATCTTCTATCCGCTGATTCACTCCCCTGAAGTCCACAGTAGCTCGGGCCATGTGGAAGCCAGGGGCCACGACGGTGGCAGAGACCCAAGTACTTGGGCATCAGCTGGCTCCCTGCATGAGCAGGGAGCTGGAACCAGAAGCAGAAGTGAGGGTTGGTCCCAGGCACTCTTACATCCCAAGCGGCATCTTAACCTGCTGCGGCGAACCCCCTGCCATGGCTGCTCCTTCTCTAACTCGTGAATGCTGCCACTCTGTCTTCTGCCCTCTTTCTCTAAGCTGCTGCCCTCCCAAACTCCTAGCTTCCTGTTGGCCCCGAGACGGCAGATGCGGTGCCAGCCTGCTAGCTCCACCCGACTGGCCCACAGGCCGTTCACATCACGCGTGTCCAGTAGAGGCGCGCTTCTCTTTCCCCGGGAACCCGCTCCTCCTCTGATGCCCAAACTTGGGGAATGGAGCTGGTGCCCATCCACGCTGGTGGGTCAGAAACTCGGGGGAGAGCTCCCCTGCTGACCCAAGGCCACTCAGTCACAAGTCCAAGCCCCGCTTGCCTGTTAAACAAGTCCTCAGGCACCGGGGTGCAGCAGGTGGATGCCCACACCCCACATCAGAGTGATGGTTGAGTCTCAGCTGCCGCACTTCCTGTCCAGCTTTCTGTTAACGGGAGGCAGCAGGGGATAGGCCAGTAATTGGGTTCCTGCCATCTATATGGGTGACCTGGATGGAGTTCTGGGCTCCTGGCTTGGGCTTGGCCCAGCCCTAGCTGTTGCAGGCATTTGGGGAATAAACCAATGGACAGAAGACTGTGTGTGTGTGACTCTGCTTTTTGGGCAGATGAAAAGAACCTTTGTTTCTGACTCTCAGCGCCCACACCAAGTGAAGCTGCTGCAAGTGATGCTGAGACCCATCTTGAGCGCCAGGTTGAGTGCTAGGAACTCTGCTTCTGCTCCAGCTTCCTAACGGGCCTGCGAAGGCAGCAGAGGATGGAGGGCTTGGGTCCCTGCCACCTACATGGGAGACAGAGATAGAGTTCCAGGCTTTGGCCTGGCCCAGCCCTGGCTCTTTTAAGATTTACTTTTTCAGATGAAAGGCAGAGTTACAGAAAGAGGGAGAGGGAGAGGAAGAGGGAAAAAGAGAGAGAGAGAGAGAGAGAGAGAACGAGAGCTTTTCCATCGACTGATTCACTCCCCAAATGGCTGCAACGGCCAGGGCTGTGTTGGGCCAAAGTGAGGACCCAGCACCTTCTTCTAGGTCTCCCATGTGGCTGCAGGGGCCCCAAAGCCATTCTCTGCTGCTTTCCTGGGCTCATTAGCAGGGAGCTGGATGGGAAGTGGAGCAGCTGGAACTGGGACTGGTGCCCATATGGGATGTCGGTGCCACAGGTGGCAGCTTTACCCACTATGCCACAGTGTTGGCCCCAGTAAATAAATCTTAAAAAATAAATAAATAAATAAAAACTTATTCTCTAGACAATACAGTATAACAACCATTTACAGAACATTCACACCGCGTTAAATACAGTGAGTGCTATGTAGAGGATTTAAGAAGCTATGCAGGGGCCAGCACTGTGGTGTAGCGGTTAAAGCCACCGGCTGCAGTGCCAGCATCCCATATAGGCACCAGTTCGAGTCCCAGCTGCTCCACTTCCAATCCAGCTCTCTGCTGTGGCGTGGGAAAGCAGTAGAAGATGGCCCAAGTCCTTGGGCTCCTGCACCCATGTGGGAGACCCAGGAGAAGCTCCTGGCTCCTGGCTTTGGATCGGCACAGCTCAGGCCACTGCAGCCTATCGGGGAGTGAAGCAGCAGATAGAAGACCTCTTTCTCTCTCTCTGCCTCTCCTTCTCTCTCTGTATAACTCTGACTTTCAAACAAATAAATAAATCTTTAAAAAAAAGAGAGAGAAGATATGCAGAAGTGGCATCAATCACTACGTTGTTTTGCCTTAGAGAGCTGGGACAACACATTCTGCTATCTGCAGAGTGACCTGGAACCAATCCCGAGATCCTCACGGTGTGACTGTGGTTAACAGGGACCCCAGACTACAGGTGAGAAGACCACAGCCCTGAGATTCCTGGTCCACACATGGCCACACAGCCGGGCGCTGCCCACTGCACAGCCCAGCCACTCTCTGCTTCATCCTCTTCCCGCCCCATGCCTCGCAACAACAGAAATCACGTCTTTCTCAGTTCTGGATCTCAGGGGCCAAGCACAGGACTGGCCTTGAAGGGGGCCACAGCAAACATTCCCCAGCTAATCCCACTTTGTAACCATCTGCATCTATGTTGCGAGTTCAGGCCTCAAGGGCACAGACCTGCGTTCTCAGGACTGGCCCGCCCGCATCCCCAGCTCCCAGAATCCGGATCACAATTACGGCATTGAGCAGCTTCTGCTTCCCAGGCTCTGGGCCAGCCCTTTGTGCGCATTAGCTGACTGGGAAGTCACAGCTCCGAGCACCCTGGCTTCCCGGCTGAAGAAGCTGAGACGAGGAGGAAGTCCCTGGCCCTGTGCTAGAACCGCTCATCACAGGAAGAAGACTGGTGCCAGGTAGCTTGCCCTCACAGCCTACGGTCTGGTCTGGCCTTTGCAGACCCCAGCAGGCATGGGCTAGCACCCTAGGAAGAGCACTGGAGTTTTCAGCCATGCTCTTGGACTGTGGCTACAGGCGTCCCTCACGTCCCCAACTGGGGTGCTATTACGAGGAACAAATCAGCTAATGCTCCTGAGTGTGGTCCATAGGACGCCCGTGGGAAAGGCCCTGAATTCTATCGCTGCATGTAACATTTCTCCAGCTCCTCCACGGCCCTTTGTCTTCTGCTGGGGACACACAGATAAAACAGACACACAAGCTGCCCCCACCCCAGCAACTGACCGGAACGTGAAAACGGACCAACGGACAGCTGGTGCAGGGGTCTGATGGGAGGGAGGGGGAGGAATTTTGCTGGGGGGTGGGGTCAGAAAGGAAGACAAGAGGGCAGAGGGTGTGAGCGGTGGATCTGGAGAGGAAAGCAGCACTGGGTGTAGGGGCAGGATGGCGAGCATGGTGGCCTCTGGGTGGGCATGAGCTGTATGAGCAGAGAGCTTTTTCATATGGAAATGGGACCAAGAGTCAGACTGCCCTTAGAAAAGGGAGGGGCTGGGGCTGGTGCTGTGGCACAGTGGGTTAAATCCTGGCCTGCAGCGCAGCATCCCATATGGACGCCAGTTCAAGACCCGGCTGCTCCTCTTCCGATCCAGCTCCCTGCTAATGCGCCTGGGAAAGCAATGGAGGATGGCCCAAGTCCTTGGGCCCCTGCACCCACTTGGGAGACCCAGAGGAGGCTCCTGGCTCTTGGCTTTGGATCAGCTCAGTTCTGTTCTGGCTGTTGTGGCCATCTGGGGAGTGGACCAGCAGATGGAGGACCTCTCTCTCTCTGCCTCTATCTCTGTAACTCTCTTTCAAATAAATAGGGACTGGCACTGTGCCGTGGTGGGTTAAGCCGCCACCTGCAGCACGGGCATCCCATCTGAGCACTGGCTTGAGTCCTGCCGCTCCACTTGTAATTCAGCATCCCTGCTAGATGGCAGGAGAAAAAAGCAGAAGCTGGCCCAAACGGTTGGGACCCTGCCACCCACGTGCGAGACCCAGACAGAGTTCCAGGCTCCTGGCATGGGCCAGGCCCAGCCCCAGCCCCAGAGGTTTGAGGAGGGAACCAGCGGATGGAAGATCTCTCTTTCTGTGTCTCTCCCTCTCTCTCTACAACTCTGCCTTTCAAATAAAGAAAATCAAATCTTTAAATTAAAAAAAGGAGAGATCAGGCAGGCAAGATAATAGACTCCAGCAGTTGGCACACTAGCTGGCACATGTGAGCACGCCATGTAAACACCAGCTGTAATTGAGGGAAGGTTCTGGAGCCAGAAGGGTGTGGGTTCAAATTCCTGGTTCTCCTGCTTCCTCTCCCCGTGACCTTGCGCTTCAGCTTCAAATGCAAAAGGGGCTAATAACGATCACACAAGGTTGCTGTGAGGGTTCACGGAGCTCATCGTGGGGCCGGCGCTGTGGTGCAGTGGGTTAAAGCCCTGGCCTGCAGCACTGGCATCCTATATGGGCGCCAGTTCAAGTCCCGGCTGCTCCTCTTCCAAGCCAGCTCCCTGCTAATGCGCCTGGGAAAGCAGTAGAAGATGGCCCAAGTCCTTGGGCCCCTGCACCTGCGTGGGAGACCCCGAAGAATCTCCTGGCTCCTGGTTTCAGCCTGACCTAGCCCAGGTCGTTGCAGCCACTTGGGGAGTGAACCAGCAGATGGAAGACCGTTCTCTGTCTCTACCTCACTCTGTAACTCTTTCAAATAAATAAAATAAATCTTAAAATAAAAAAAGCTTATAGTAAACACAGAAGTATCTCACTGTCATGTCTGCATGCTATGGAGATACCCTAAATCCCAAACCAGCAGGGCCCAGTGAGGCCCAGAGACCTGCCGCGAGGCACACAGCCAGTGAGAAGAAGCAGGCTGGCCAGGAGCCACGGCCTGTCGGGCACTCACCAGCGGCTCCAAGTCCGGCAGACTCGCATGCAGATGCACAGCTCTCGGGGCCCGAGGTGCTGGAAGACGCGCAGCCAGGCGGCCCGGGGCAGGGGATGGTCGGATCCAGCAGCCAAAGGCAGTGTGTCGGGCTCGGGGCTTCGAGGTGGGGGCCGTACCACATGTCGCTCCAGCTGTGGGGGCCGGGGTGGTGGGGCGGGGCCCAGGGGCCAGCTGAGCAGGGGCCCCCCAGTGCCGGGGCGCACAGCCCGCCGCCCCCCGCGGTTCTCCTTCTCGCCGGAGCTGCCCCGGGCAGGCCGGCGCCCATTCCGAGCCTCGCCGGGGGCCTCCTCCTCACTCAGCGACGTGCCCGAGGAGTCGGAGTCCGAGTCGGAGTCCGAGGAGGAAGAGGAGGTGTCGGGCACGCGCTCCAGCAGCTGACACATCCGCTTGAAGCGCTCCAGCTTCTCCCTCTGGGGCGACGGGGACGGCACCGCCGGGCCCTCCGCAGAGGCCAGGGCCGGCTTTGGTTTCTGCAGAGACAGGGTGAGGCTGTTCCAGGGCCCGGGACGTGCTGTCCCACCCACTACCCCCCGAGGGGACTCCCAGCCCAAGGGACAGTGCTGAGTTCCAGCCCTAGCTCTGTTCCTGAACACCGCAAGACCCCAGCCAAACCGCTGCCCGTCTCAGGGTTTATTCGAAGGTGCTACCAGGTCAATCAGAAGCCCTGTGGGTTTCCACGGCTTCGGGATTTCAAACAGCAGGAGGGTACGGAGAGCAGTTGGAGAGGCCCGGTTTGCCTGTCAGCTCCCTGTCTGACCGTGGGAAGTCCCAGTGTCGCCACAGTGGCTGGACACATAGCTGTGAGTGGCCATCAGGACCGGCGTGGGGCGCCCTGTGCCTGCCGACTTGCCCTGTCTCCTCACTGTGCTCTGTAGCGCCCCTCTTTCTGGCTAGGAATCGAAGCTCACAAGAGACCACGCGGCACGCCCACGCAGAAGCAGCACTGGAACAGGAGCAGGCGGGTTTAGTGCCCGTGCAAAGCACTCACACTCGGTTCTGACTGTGCTGCGCGCCCTGGGGCAACTCTCCCCTCCCTAGAATCGAGGCACATTTCATTGCCTACAAATCTCACTGACTCTTGCGGCCTCATTAGGTTCATACAGTTCCCCAGGGAGAGAGTGGGGGCGGGATGGGGGCAGAACGCAAGGTGCGTCCATTTTACAGATGAGAAAACTGAGGTTCAGAACAGCTGCCAAGCTGCCAAGCCCATACAAAGAACCTGCAGTTGGCAGGCAGGCATTCAAACTCAAGGTGTTTTTTTTTTTTTTTTTCTCCCCTTCTTAAAGGCCTGGAAAGAGGAGGCAAATGGGCCAGGTGATGCCCTAAGGGCTCTTGGGAAGCCAGGGCCTCCTGTGGCCTGGGCCCGACCCACTCTCCCACCCAACTCTTCCAAACACCCATCTCTTGGCCAAGTGGGGCTAGGGCAGGACAGGGTGAGCAGGAAAAGACAGATCTGTCTCCAAGGTGGAGAGTGGAGCAAGGCAGGTGGGAGGGGGAGGGAGGAGGTCCCCGGCACACCTCCCAGTTCTCGGGAGGGAGCCCAGGGTGGCAGGACGAGAAAGCCTGGCTCGGATTCAGAACCCTGGGGGGCAGAAGGCCAGGGCCGCCTGGGTCCGATCCTCGGAGGAGGCAGGCGTCTCCACCCACCTTCTTCAGGTGCCTCTCTCGGCCTCCTTTCACCTACCGGGGGAGGGGGAGAAACGGGGGAAGGGAGAGACCCCATTAGGTCCTCAGGGCCCACAAAGCTGAAGTCCACGCCTTCCTCTTCAGACTACAAGTCCCAGAAGCCCCCATCCCAGGGAGAACTCTGAGCATGCTCACCTTCCGCCCAGGGCCTGGGCGCACTGAGCATGCTCTCATCTCCTTTCTTCCCCCTCAGGCCTTTTCCAGTCCCTCCTTCCTCCTCCTGGGTAGCAGTCGGTGTGAGCATGCTCGCTGCTGCCTCTCCAAACCACCCTGGGCTCCCGCCGCCTCCAGGCCAGCGCCAGCTTCCCCTCACCTGGACCTCTCCTCCCCGCCGTCCAACAACTGAACTACATCTCCCAAGAACCCCCTGGGAGGATCCCACTACCTCCCAGGCCCACCCTGCCTCAAAACGGCCAGGACTACAATACCCAGAACCCCCGCTGCACCTAGCGAGCGTGCTCCGTGGCTCACCTTTTTCCTTGGGGTGGGGGGCTCATTCCCTGCCTCCCTCTCCTTCCGTTTGGGGGGCCCAGGCACATCCTCAGGTGGGGGCCCAGCAGGCAGAGGGCCCTTGCGCCTGGGCGGTGGCGGTGGAAGCGGTGGCTCCTCTGTCAGCTTCCAGCCACTGCCCAGGCTGGCGCCCTCCTCGCCGTTGTCAGCCCTGCGGCGGCCCGGCCCCTCACCTGAATCCTGGGGGCAGATGGAAGCTGGGGATGAGGCCCCGCCCGGCTCAGCTTGCTGACCCAGTGCCGGCCCAGCCCCCAGCCCCCAGCCCCCGCCCTACCTTGCTGGTGCGGCCTTCCTGGGTGCAGCGAGGGCACTCCCAGCAGTTGGGGATCTCCGCATTGATGACCCCCTCAGCCTTCCCCATCTGCAGGTGAGAGGCAGGCGGCACGTGGAGGGCGCCCCCCCCAGCAGCGGCCCCACCCCGGGCCCCAGGGTCCCCAGGGCCATCACCTTCAGGCAGCCAGGGTGGACGATCTCATTGCAGATTGTACACTCCATGAGGCTCCAGCCAAATTTCTCTTCCTCTCCCTCCACTGTGTCCTCCTTCCCAGCCTCCCCACACAAGAGGCACACAGCTGTGTGTGGGAGCACGGGCTGTCGGGGGAGAGGGGGCGTCAGGGGCCCTGAAAGCAGGGGGGGTGGGCGGGCAAGTCCCTTCTCTCTGGGGGCCCTGGCCAGCGGCTGGATGACCCTCAAAATAACCCCTGGGCCAAGCTGGGTCAGATCCTGAATTGGCTCCATCCCAAACAGCTGATTTAACCTCCCGAAGTCTGTTTCCACATCTGTGAAATGGGGTGAAGAATCCCTTTCCAGGACCGGGGTTAAGAATGAGAGCAGAGAGCCTGGGGGCACTAGCTGTATAGTTGCTATCGGTGTTGTGCTTCCAACAGTGGGTGCAAATAGAGAAGTTACACGCAGGGCTGCCGTCACAGCCGAGGGTGCATGGCAGCTGAAGGGGCCCCCAAGGTCGCTCAGTGGGCTGCCCGGGCTTCCGGTGGACCCTACAGTGTGCAAGGTTTTCGGCAGGCGCCCTGGGGATACTTGGGAGAATGGCTCGTCCTGGGAGCCCTCAGACGGTGTTACTCTGGGAAGCACAGGGTGGAAATCCCGACTCCTACCAGCGACGCTGAAGGCTGCGGGCCAGCATAGAGAGATCCAAGAAAAGAGCAGGCAGAGGAGGAAGGGACGGGCAAGTGAGACAGGAGTTAGGGGAGAAAGGAAGAGAGGCCGCGGGATGAAGAGACCAGCCAGGAAGGAGTAGCTGGAGGCAGAGAGGGAGGCGGCCGTGTGCAGAGGGGGTTGCAGGAAGCAGCTGGCCGCTCTCCGGCGTCCAGGGAGGCTCAAAGGAGGAGGAAGACCGGGAGGAAGCCCCTGTTTCCCTGGTACCTACTGTGTGGTGGGCCTCGCGCTAGGCAGGTCCACGTCCATGCTATTGTTTGATCTTTACAACTCAGCAAGGAAAATATTTTACAGAAAAGGTACCTATAGTTCAAAGGGATTGACTCAAGGTCACGCAAAGGGTGAGCCTGACCTCAAATCTGAGACCGCCCTGATGGACAGGGAAGAGGCAGATCTGTCCCCAGGGGCCAGCGGGGGAGCCGTACGGCGCGGGCTGGGTTTTCTATGGGCCCTGTGCCTCTCTGACAGCTACAGAAGCATGAAGGCAGAGACTGGATGGGACTGCTGTGTGCACACTCCTAGCATTGCCCCCAGCTCGGAGCTGAGGACCAAGAAAAAAAAAAGGCCATTCAAACATTCAAACCAACCAGTGAACGAAGGAAGGAAATGAATGAGTCGGGAAGCAGCCACCAGCCACCCCCAGAAAGGTGTCTTGGCCAGCGGGGGACCAGGCTGGGAGGCTGGGAGCTGCACAGGGACCCAGAGCGGAGGGGCAGGACTCACGGCAGTGCACTGCCGGAGCAGGCACGACTGCTTCATGCGCCCGGGCCCCCCGAACTTCTTCATGTCTCGGCAGAAGTGGCAGTCCCCGCACTCGGTTCGCACACAGGCCCGGCAGCGGCGGCAGCGGGTTCGGCGTCGGCGCGCTCCGGCCCCCGGCCCCCGGCTGCTCGACGACATTGGGGGCGTCAGCAACGCCGAGGGCTGTGGGGAGATGGCAGCAAGGTCACGTAGGGCCACCGGGGGCTCTGGCCTGGCAGCTGACCCCGCCCCGGGCGGGCAGCCACAGCTTGCCCTCCTGCACGAGTCTGGGAGGGGGCTGCTCCCTGCAACTCGGGGCGCGGCAGCTCTTCTGGCTGCCTGACCTCAGGCCTCCCCTAAGGCTCCCTCAGGGCCCCTGCCCCAGCCACGGAGCCCTCTCCTCCTGCTATCTCCATGCCAAAGCTCCTGGGAGAGGCCGCGGGCTCCTTGTCTGCAAGGGTCCCCCAGGGAGGACCCAACCTTCTCCTGTCACCAGAGGCTTGCTCCCTCAGGTTCTCCCCAACCCCAAATGCCCCAGATTTACCTCCGAGACACCCACAGATTTCCTCTGCACTTTGCTCGCTCCCTCTCTCATAGGCAAAGGCCATCGGATCCCTGTTCCCTCTAAACCTAGCCGTGGGATTCTCAGCCCTAACGGGCCACGCTGCTCCCCAGGCTCTGACACCCCCTCGGCCCTGGAATCTGTCCCCCGCCCAGCTCCCCCTGGGCAATCCCCCAGATTCCCTGGGAGTCTAGAATCCAGCCTGACATCTCCACGGAACTCGGGGCGGGGGGGGGGGGTTCAGCCCTCTATTCCCAAGCTGCTTTCCCACCCTAATTGTCTGGACCCTCTTGGGCTCCCCTGCCCATGGAAAGCAGATCCTCCAAGACCCCATCCCGACTCAACAGGCCTGGAGGCGCCCTTCCCAGAGTCTTACCCCGGCTTCCCCCTTTCCAGGGAATTCCAGCCCCATCCACGGGGTGGGGGGAAGGGGCCTAGAGGGCGGCGATTGCAGGCGGGGGTGGGGGCGGGGGTCTGCAAGGGGAAGCAGGCCAGTTCCCCAGGGTTGAGAGGGAATAGGAAGAAAGGCTGGAGATGAGGAGTTTGGAGCAGAGAGAGGGGGAGGCTGGGGGCGGGGAAGGTGGAGAGAGGCCGGGCTGAGGATGAATGGGAGTGGGAGCTGCCCAGGTCTGGGGGCGAGCAGGAGCCGCGTGAACCCACCTCACACGTGTCCCGGGAGCCATCTCTCCCTTCTTGGCAGCTCCCGGCGGGTCGGCGGCCATCGGCGGCGGGGGGGCCGGGCGGCGCGGGGCGTGGAACGCTCAGAACGCCGGGGTCCACGGCCCCCCGAGGGCGCTCGGCCCCTCCCTCCGGCGGAGGCCGGGACGGCGGCGAATGGAGCTGGGGGGCGCCGGGGGCGAGGCCCTCCCACGGGCTGCGGCGCGGCCCTTCCAGGGGGAGGTCCTGCTCTGGGGGGCTCAGTCCCTCAGCCCCCCCAGGCCAACGGGGGCTCCTCGGGCGCAGGGTGCTCAGCTTCTGGCCCGGGCCCCACTCAGTCCCGGGTCCGAGTCCCAGCTCCCCTCCCCCCACCCCGCCCCGCCTCTCCTCAGCGCCCCCGGCCCTTTAACTGGCCCCTTCCCGGCCCCCACTGCCCAGGGGTCCAGGGCCAGGCCTGGGCCCCCCCACCGTTTCCGGGGTTCAAGCCCCGCCCACCGCCGGTTCCCGGGGAGGGGGGGGTCGCTGTAACCTGCCCCCCTCCCCTGGGCCCGCCCCTGGACTGCGGCCCCCTGTCCTACGCCTACGGAGCGAGCGGAGGGGGGCAAAGGAAGCTGCTCCGGCCCCGCCCCCCCAGCCCGCGCGCGCCCCCGCCCTCTCCCCCTCCCCCCCCAGCGCGCGACCCTCGGGAGATAGGGATTTAAATAAAATTTGAATAAATCCCCCTCCTCAAGCGAGAGGGTGGAAGGAAAGGATGGAGGGGGGGCAGGGAAGGGGGAAGGGGGCAGTTGGGGTGTCTCAGCCCCCTTGGTCCCCCAGCCCCGCGCTGCTTCGGCCCGGGGCCCTGGCCGCTTCTCTCATCCCTCCTCAGCTCCTTCCTCCTTCCTCCTCTCTTCCCCCTCCCCTCCCTCCTCCTTCCCTCCTCCTCCTCCTCTTACTCCCTCCTTCTCACAGAGGAACCCCGCCCCCTGCCCCCTCCTTCCTCCCCCACCTCCACTTTCGAGGACGAGCGCGTGCAGGGCACGACGGGAGTTGTAGTCCCGCGGACGTTGGTGCTACCGCAGAGACAACGAGACGCTGGGGCCAGCAGGGACTACAAGCAAAATGGCGGAGGACGTGCCAAGCCGGGAGCCGAGGATGCCGGGAGTTATAGTCCGGTTGGCCTGAGGCTCCCCGTTGCAGAACATAGAGAAGGAGCGGGAACGATGACTACAAACAAGATGGCCTTCTCCCCCGACCCGACCTCCTTCCCAGGCACTCACACGCCCTCCTGTCCACAACCCTCCGCGTGTGTGGTACCTGACGGGAGTCGCAGTCCATCTGCTGCCTTCCCGCTGCCATTTCTATTCGTCAGGAACAATGGAAAGGTGAAAAGGAATGAGGACTACAAGCAAGATGGCGGAAGAGGGGCGTACACCTGACTAGCACTCGATTTCATGAGGTGCGATGGGAATAGTAGTTTCCTAGTCTTCTGGTGTTCTTTAAGAATGGCGGAGCCAGGAGAAGAAGGAGACTACCATAAAGATGGCAGGCTACCTAGCCTCTCCGTCGCCTCATTCCACCACCTTGGGCACCTCGCCCGCCTGCAATAGCGAAATCCCCCACCCGGTGGCGCAAAGCCTGGCGGGAGTTGCAGTCTTCCCAGCTCCTCTCTATTATCTTCAGTCCAGACAATGGAACGGGACGGGGCGGGGACTGCCGGCAGAGATGGCGGCCAGAGTAAGTGAGGGTGGGGAGATGGCGCATGGGAGTTGTAGTCCAGGCGCTAGGGCTAGTCCCTGCAGAAGTGGAGGGCGGGACTACAGCAAAGATGGCGTCCCGGACACTCGACCTCTGCGCCAGTGCCTGCTGGGGGACGTAGTCCTTTCCTGAGCTCTACGGAGAAAGGACGTTGGCTGTGGGAATGTGCAGGCCGACGGAACCGGAAGGGCCCCTTCCCCGGCACTCCGGCCACCCCGCTCAGCAGAGCCTGCCGGGAAAAGTAGTCCTGGGCTTTCACTCGCTGGGGGAAGGGGGGAGAGTTTATGTCACCAGTGGGGAATCACTGCGAATGAGAGAGAAAGACGCCCGGGCGATCCAGGAATCTAGAATGTCCGCCTCCTCGGGTGGCAAGGACTTCATATGTCAAGAGAAGGCTCTTAAAGGAAAGCATCGGTAGTCAGCATTGCCGCGACAAAGGAGGCGTGGTTCTCGCCGAAAGTCACGCCGCTGTCCCTTCGAAAGCGTAGGCGCCTCACGCCCGAGGCCGCTCACCCCCAAGCCTCCAGAACTCGGTCGCTATCTTACAAGTCGTGAGGGCTCCAGGCTGAGGTCGTACAAAAATCCCAGCCCCGCTCCGCTGCCACCACCACCACCCCGGAAGTCACCAAACCTCGGTTTTCTCATCTGAGAAATGGGATAGTGATACCCACCTGGAAGCAGAGTTAGAGGAGTGTTAAACAAGACAGTGTTCACGAAAGTGCCCAGCTCTGGCCCCGGGCCCGTGACGACAGTGCCTTTATGGAGGTCCCGTCCAGTACCGCCTTCCTGGGAATCCAGGAGTCCACCACGCCGGACGGAATTCGCTTCAGTGACCAGAACACCGGGCTGGGCGGGCCACCCCATCCTGAGCCGCCCACCCCTCCGCCCTTCCACAGCTGGGCCCTCCGGCATGCACTACCGAGCACTGCTCCCAGGGGGCGCCCTTTCTCCATTCGGCCGAGGGTCTACAAACCCACCAAATGCCTGCACCTGAAGTTGTAGGCGCTTCCCGGGCACCCTGGGAGGCCTTCACCTGCGCACCTCAGCAGCCCACTTCCGGGCCTCTCACTCGCCGCCTCCTCCTCCACCTGCCACACTGCTCCCTCCGGACCCCAAGCCGACTCCCTCTGCCTTAGGGGCCCCGCGGGAGACTTGGTGGGTGTGGTTTTTCTGTTGGGGGTGGGGGAATGTGGTGTCACTCCCGACATTGCAGGCCCTGGCCTCAGGCTGAACCCTTATGCCGGCACTTTTATCAATCAGGAAAACCTCGGGCTCCCAAGACCAGTGCCTCTGCCTCTCGGCCCTCGAGGCTTTCATTTTGGCGCCGAGGAGGATGACTTCAGAGCATTGCGCCTCCCCTCCTCCCATCCCTGGGTGGTTCCGCCCAGTTAGCTGCTCACCTTTCGGGTCTGAATTTAAACGCCACTGTCCACCATCCACTGAAGCTTCTCTGTGGTTCCCGGATGAGATTCGTGGCCTCTTCCACTAGCTGCTAAGCTTCATGAGGCGTGCATCGCCCTTGAAGCTAAGATGCTGGCGGAACAGACTCCCATTTTATGGATGGGAAAATTGCGGTCCTGGGCGTAGGCACTGAACGTGACCGTCAGGACGCCCTCATCGAACACTGAGAGCCTGGGTTCAAAACCCCGGGCTCCAACTCCTGACTCCAGCTTCCTGCAAATGCAGACCCTGGGGCCAGCGGTGATGACCCAGGTGATTGGGTTGAGTTCCTGGCTCCTGGCTTGGGGAAATGCCAGCTGTCTGTCTCTCTGCTCTCAAATAAATAAGGGAAAAAAATATATATATATATAGAAAAACTCTTCATTTTATAAGTGAAATTCTCATCATGAGCAGATACTATTTGTAGAAGCATACTTCAACAGGTTCATGGAAAATGAAATTAAAAGTTTTGGGCTGGCGCCGCGGCTCACTAGGCTAATCCTCCGCCTGTGGCGCCGGCACCCCGGGTTCTAGTCCCGGTCGGGGCGCAGGATTCTGTCCCGGTTGCTCCTCTTCCAGTCCAGCTCTCTTCTGTGGCCCGGGGAATGCAGTGGAGGATGACCCAGGTGCTTGGGCCCTGCACCCGCATGGGAGACCAGGAGAAGCACCTGGCTCCTGGCTTCGGATTGGCGCAGCGTGCTGGCCATAGCAGCCATTTGGGAGGTGAACTAATGGAAGGAAGACCTTTCTCTCTGTCTCTCTCTCTCACTGTCTAACTCTGCCTGTCGAAAAAAAAGAAAGAAAAGTTTTGGGGGCTGGTGCTGTGGCGTAGTGGGTAAAGTCGCTGCCTGCAGCACCGGCATCCCATAGGAGCACTAGTTCGAATCCTGACAGCTCCACTTCTCATGCAGCTCCCTGCGAGCTGTACCTGGGAAAGCAATGGAGGATGGCCCGAGTCCTTGGGCCCCTGCACCCACATAAGAGACCCAGATGAGACTCCTGGCTCATGGTTTCAGCCTGGCCCAGCCCAGGCTGTTGCAGCCATTTGGGGGGTGAACAAGTGGCTAGAATATCTCTCCTCTCTCTGTCTATCCCTTTCTCTCTGTAATCCTGATTTTCAAGTAATAAGTCCTAGAAAGTTTATTTTTTGGGATGGTGCTGTGGCATAGTGAGTAAAGCCACTGCCTGCAGTGCTGGCATCCTATATGGGTGCTGGTTTGAGTCCTGGCTGCTCCACTTCTGATCCAGCTCTCTGCTATGGCCTGGGAAAGCAGTAGAAGATGGCCCAAGTCCTTGGGTCCCTGCACCCACATGGGAGACCCGGAAGAAGTCCTGGCTCCTGGCTTTGGCCTGGCCCAGCCAAGGAGTGAGCCAGCAGATGGAAGATCTCTCTCTCTCTCTCTCTCTCTCTCTCTCAACTCTTTCAAATAAATAAATCATTTTTAAATCCATACATCGTGTTTTCATAATTCACTTTTTCCATGAACTTTGTGAAATGCCCTCGTACGCGTGGTTTTTCAAATTTTGTTTGTACCCAGAGAAACCTTTGTTTTCATTCCAACCTGCACAAACTATGCAAAGTATCCTCTTAGGCCAGAAGCTAGGCCTCTCCCACTGAACAGTCAAGCTGCAAATGGCAAAGGCGAAGTTCTTGAAGGAAACAAGACCTGCCCCACCCGAGAATGCTGGATGATAAGAAGGCAAAACAACTCGCTGCTGATAAGGAGAGAATCACACCAGTCACAACTTTCCCCTCCGCTAAAGCCTAATCCAGGGCAAGACCCCGGAAGAAGTCTCTGGTTCTACAAAGGCTGAGAGAGGCCAGGAAGCCACAGAAGAAAGCTTTGAAGCCAGCGGAAGTTGCTGGTTTGTGAGGTTAAGGAAAGAAGCCGTTGCTGTGACCTGAAGCCACAAGTGCTCGATGCAGCGGCTCCAGTAAGTTCTCTAGGAGACCAGGCTGAGAGCATCCACAAAGGGGGCTACTTCCCCAAAACAGGTTTTCTTTTTTTTTTTCCTATTCGACAGGTAGAGCTACAGACTGAGAGAGAGAGAGAGAGAGAGAGAGAGAGAGAGAGAGAGAGAGAGAAGGGTCTTCCATCCGCTTGTTCACTCCCCAAATGGCCGCTCCAGCTGGTGCTGTGCCAATCCGAAGTCAGGAGCCAGGTGCTTCCTCCTGGTCTCCCATGCGGGTGCAGGGCCCAAGCACTGGGCCATCCTCCACTGCACTCTCAGGCCACAGCAGAGAGCTGGCCTGGAAGAGGAGCAGCTGGGACTAGAACCCGGCGCCCATATGGGATGCCGGCGCTGCAGGCAGAGGATTAAGCAAGTGAGCCACGGCAGCAGCCCCAAAACAGGTTTTCAATGGAAACACAGCCACCTTCTATTGTTAGGGGCCGGCGCTGTGGCATCGCAGGTAAAGCCGCCACCCGCAGTGCTGGCATCCCACGTGGGCGCCAGTCCGTGTCCCGGCTGCTCCACTTCCGATCCAGCTCCCTGCTAATGCATGCTGGAAAGCAGCAGAGGATAGTCGAAGTGCTTGGATGCCTGCACCCAGGTGGGAGACCTGGAAGAAGCTCCTGGCTCCTGGCTTTGGATCAGCGCAGCTCCGGCTGTTGTGGTCAATTGGGGGACAGTGTGAACCAGGGGATGGAAGATTCTCTCTCTTTCTCTCTGCCCCTCCTCCTCTCTCTGTGTAACTCTGACTTTCAAATTAAAAAAAAAAAAAATGATCACACC